GCAAAGAAGTTTAATTAATGTTCATAACCCGAACAAGAGTGATACCAATGCAACTATTTATGTGTTACTACCAACCAGTCCCGGCTTCCCATAAGTGCAATGTTAATACGAAATTTCACCACTTAATACGTATAAACATTCGTCTTCAATCACTCTATCTATTAAAAAAAACCGCATCCAAATCCGTTGCGTAGTTTCAAAGATTTAAGCGGATATAGGGACAGAAATCGACTTTTGTTTTATAATATGGGGTGATGTGTACTTCTATTTCGTGCTGAAGAAACCTAGACTTACTTTCATATCTATACTAATATTATAAAGAGGTAAAATTTGTAAGTTTCTATGTAAGGGGTAATCTTTGGAACCGCTGGTCGGATTTCCAAAATTCTTTCACTGATAGATAGCTACAATGTTCCTTAGTGCTATAGGTTATAAAACATCACGCTACGATTAAATGGAGCTGAGCAGCGAGTGAAACCGCGCGAGAGTAGCTAGTTAGGTATGATTGAAATGAGACGGCCTTAGGTATGAGAAGTGTGCGAGAAGACCCCTTCGCCCGGTGCGAAAGTTACTGTGATATAAACGAGCTTATGGATCTAATCACATTGACTGATATTTAAGAGCTACTGATGGAACCGCAGCCCTTTTCTTAAGGGGGAAAAGCATCGAATGACTGCTCCGCTCTAGATGAGGTGAGAGGGAGTGTCAGACTCTTACTGACTAAAATCCACACCGTTCATTCAATCGCCATCGTCATAAAAAAGGATGTTCCGGGTCTGGATGTGAAGTGTTCGTGAATTTTTATGTTTCCATACCCACCCAAGATAAAGCAGAAAACCTAAATTTGGGCCGCATTTGAAAATAAATATTAACGCTCACCCGGCGAAAGATTTAATTTAAAACATGATTCGGTCGTCGGAAATAATGTACAGCTGTTTACATTACGCGTAAAATTTAAATGTATTTCATGGACGCGAAATAGGGTCAGTATAACCTTTCGTATTGGCTTTAGAGAAAACCGGTGTGAATTGCTTGCGGCGTGTTTCGCCGTGTGAGTGAAGTTACCGCACTTGTAATTCCTCTAGTTTTAGGAGATGGTGCAACACCCATTTTATTTTCGTTGAGACAAACCTGCCATAGCCTCCCAAAAACTGCTGCAATTCCTATGCACTAGGATCTACAGTAGATACCACTATGAAAGCACTATGAATGACTGTCTCGGATCCCGCAATGAAAGAAATCAGAAGATATTTTTTAAGACTTACTGTAGGATGTTCTTTTTTGTAGTGGGTGCGTTTACAAACATACAATTTCACATACATATGGCACCCAGACCCGGAACAACAATTTGTGTATGACACGAATAGTTATTCCGTGCGGGAATCGAACCCTCGACACGTTGCGCAGCGTTGATGAAGGATGATTTAATAATGGTCGATTATTAGAGGAGTAGTAAAAACGAAATAGTTTCCACTTCCCTCGGTAAATTTAATGCAGGAGACAGAATGATCAAGGCTTTTAAAGGCACAAAAGAGTCCCATTGCCTGCCTCCTTACCATCAGGTGATGCGCTGTCTACCTATATCACTTACTAAAGTAATGATGGCATAGCCATTGTTCTTTTGTGATTGTCCACATCGCCAGCTCGACTCTTTGTCTTCTAGAATAATATTCATTCAATCATAACTACAAATAAATTAATCTATTTTATTATTGATCGACAATAACTTGTTTTCTAAGCTGTTAACCTTGTAGATTTATCGTCGCATGAATATTATTCCGTGTCGTATGATATTCTGGTTTTGGTATATAATGATTGAAGTCACTCAGTGATGAACCGATGTCTCGGCGTGAATTGGATGGCTCGATGAAAGTCAGTCGATTGTCAGATGATCGGTGCTCGTTTGCCACCCTATCCCGCCTCTGCGAACCACAACCAGACCCAAGCGTACGCGCGTAGCGTTCCGCGCGCCTCAAAGAGCCAATAGACCACCACAGACGGGGCCCTGTAGGGCTGATGTTCAGCCGGGGTTGCGGGGTAAGCGCAATGAGGCACCGCGGCCTCGGCCCAGAACAGGAGAAGGAACAGGGGGTTTTTAGTCAGTAAGAGTCTGACACTGCCTCCCGCCCAGCTCTGGGCGGGAGAAGTCATTTGATGATTTTCCCCTCACAAAAAAAACCCGCCTTTTTATGGGGGGGGGGGAGGGAATCGTCTCGTATCTTAAGTATGATTTGAACTTCTTTCTAGTACTACAAGCAAGCTAGCAAGCTGTGTGTGTGTGGGAGGTGTAGGGGAGCACTGAGAGACGATTTAACGGAAGGTCCTTCTTTTTATGTTCGTATGACAAAGATTTTGCACTGATATATGAATGAATGCTCATTCTCCCACATTCTACATTAACGTTGCTTTGTCCAACATTAGCGTATGACTCTTGATACTTCGTCATTACAATGACTCATTGCTCGCGGCTATGACGAACCATTTCGTCATTTGTTTATTTATTACAAACTGACCGAGCGACGACGACGCGAGTCTTCGCACGCGTGCTATTTCCCAACTGTCTTGGTAATTTTCTATGGAATTAACTATGGCGTTTGATACTAAATTTGTTCGCTGTCCTTAGGTACTTATACAGAAATTGCAGAGCGCCATCTAAGTATTGCGTTTCTCATATATACTTATGTTTCATCATACGAGCTTATTCTAAGTTTAAGAGAGTCATGGTTCGGTACGAATGGACAGGCTTGACCGGAGTGATACCACGGCCTCGAAAAAAACAACCGTGAAATAATGTTTACGTTGTGTTTCGCAGACTGGTCTAGTTCCAACCCCAATTCTCAAATTTTAGACTCTCAAAAAGGCACTTATAATTCTTTGGTGTTGATGGTATCCATAGCTCACCGATGGATTAATCATTAAGTGATCTGTAAGCAAGTTTGTCAAAAAATTATGGTCATGTTTTAAATGAATTTTAAGTTCAACACTTGGCCTTTTCCGGGATCTTCAGTGATGTTATCATTGAAGATCCTGGAAAAGTAGTATTTATAAAAGTAGGTATGCTATTTGAATTTGATACCACAAAAAACAAACGTAACAACACCCATATTTGTAAAAAATATGGGTGTTACAAAAGACTGTCGATTTTGGCAATTACAAAAATGTATTGAAAATTAATTGTCAAGTATGCACGCTTTACCATTTCGTATTTGTCCAACTATGACCCCTTCCAAATAGCTAGCGCGAAGGTAACTTTTAAGTGGTTAGATAATAATTACAAGGTTGTCCACTGAAGTTGTAATGTTACGACAGTTTTCTCTTTTGGTCAGCGGCATTATGCTACTAACCTAGTTAAATTTATGTTGGTATTTTTTCGTTGTTGTTATTCCAGACGATGTGTTTTTAAAAATAAAACTAGGAACTAGGTACGGCGAATATCCACCCCTACGTTGTTGAGACACCTGCGGCCCGGACTAAGCGTTTTGCCTCGTCATTTATACCGCGTACATCGAGGGGTTGGAACAGTTTGCCGGCTGCAGTCTTTCCGTCCGAATACAATTTAGGTGTCTTCAAGGCTAGAATGAATAGGCTCTTAATAAACTAGTGCGCTTTACCATCAACGATTGCATCACTGCTTACCATCAGGTGGGATCGCAGTCAAGCACTAGTTTATTGCAAGTAAAAAAAAATAGGATTTTCTCCAGTGTAATTGTAAGACGTACAATTTTACATACTTACACCCAGACCCGTAACAATGATTGGTAGATTGCACAAAGAGTTGTTCCGTGCCGGAACTAAAAAAGCGGCAACCGGTTACCCAGTTACTGCGTCAACCGTGTAGTCAAAGCTATCCATCTGTGTACCAATTTTCGTTGGGATCTGTTTAATAGTTTCAATGAAAGAGTAACAAACATACAGCTTTGTATACACTAGTTATGGCCACTTACTTTCCTACAGGGAATTGCAATCGCAAGTTGTTTTTTGTTGTGAGGGGGATGATCTTCATATGTTTTTCCTGCTCTGTGTGGGGCGGAAAAGTGTTGGGACTTTTACTGACTAATAAAACACCCACAAACCCGGCCACTTCGGAATACGGTCGGGGGGTCCCTCCAAAGCGTACGGTGCGCGCGTCGCAAGGCATCACAAGCGCAAAAACAACCGAGGTCTTGGCCTAGAACAGGAGAAGGAATGGGGAGGTTTTTAGTCAGTAACTCTGACACTCCCTTTCACCTCACCCTACGCAAGAGAAGTAATTTGATAATATTCGCTCTTCAAAAAAGCCGATTGCAATCGATCTGTACCCATCTAGCGATTCCCTCTGACTTTGCAATCCACCTTGCTGTTTCCTCGTTTATTTTCCTTTCGCAAAAAAGGCATACACTGTCTCCACTTGCATCGTCTCACTAATGGACCTAGCCTAATAAAGGCATTTATCCCCATACGTGATCATCGAAAACGATTCTCCCATGAGCGCAGATGTTTATTTTAAAACCCATCTCATTTATAACGTCATCACGGACTTCTTATACTTGAACGCGGAGTGACCGTGGGATGATTCATGTATTTTTAACTATGATCTTGCGTTGCTATAAAAAGTAGTTACCGTTTTATAAGTCAATTGAATGATTCGAGGTTAAAGACCCTTGAATAATTGTGTTTGATTTTATGTAGGTCGTGTTTGTAGCAGATTTTTTTTTTGAGCTGGCACCTATATCATGAAGTTACTGCTCTTGCCCTGATTGAGGCGAAAGGGAGTGTCCCTAATAACTCAAAGGAGGCCGGCAAAGCACTCATAGTAACTCTTTTGGCAATACGTGTCTATGGACGGCGCTGACTGCTTACCATCAAGTAATCCGTCTGCTCGTTTCCCGACCTACGCCATTAAATGTATTTATTTCTGTTTAGTGCTAGTCTCCCAATCAGCAGAGTCCGATATATACAGGACGAAGTGGTTTTTACTCATATTTTCAAATATACTAACGTCATATTTCCTTCCTTTCCAGGTCCACTTCTCGGAGCAGCCGCCGAAGGTCCACGTGATGCGAGTCTGGTCGTTCGCAGCGCGTCAGGCCAGAGCTGGTCACTGGGAAAGATATGCCCTAGATCGGGATAGATTCAAGAGACGGTATGTATTTATACTATCCTCATCGTTTTTATATGAGAGTAGGAGAGCCATGCTTTGGTACGAATGGGTCGGCTCGATCGGAGTGATACCACGGCCTCTCAGAAAACCGGCGTGAAACAACCACAGCATTATGTTTCGCCGTGTGAGTGAGGTTACTGGAGCCCCAATCCCGCCCCTCCCAATCCTTTAATCTCCAAATCCCAAATCCTCAAAAGGTCGGCAACGCACTAGTAACTCCTCTGTGGTTGCGGGAGTGCATGGGCGGCGCTGATTGCGAAGCATGGCTCTCAAATATTATGCCCTTTTGCCGAAACATTGACCGTCCTAATTTTGTAATAAGACACTTTTAAACAAAGCTGAACCAGAAATATTTAGTCCATGTTGATAGTAATGTCGATTATTAATGTTACTGGTACTCAAATAAATACATTTTAATTGCTAAAACAGCAAACATTACCTTCATTAGTTAATGACGTTGTACATAATTATTTAGGGCCCAATTTATAATTGTAAATAAATTGCTAGGGGCTGATTTTTCAATGGTTAGATAAATGTTACCTGGGGAATAATTATGATGCTGTCGCGTCACAATGTTTGTATAAGACAGTGACAGCAACAATTTTATTCCACAGATAACATTTATCTGACTATTGAAAAATCAGCACTAAGTTACTTAAAATGTCTACTTACTAATCATCAATGTCTCGATCATTGACGCATTAAATGACCGTTCCATCATCATCAGCCTATAAGTGCCCACTGCTGAGCAAAGGCCTCTCCTCACACGGAGAAGGAACGAGCACCAATCACCATGCTTGCTCAAGATGGATTGACAATTTCAAACTTTAAAGAAATTATAAGTTCAGCTTCAGCACGGCAAACAAACTTCCTGATTACCTGATGGTAAGCAATCAGTGTCGCTTACCCATAACAACATTGGAGTTACGAGTGCATTGCCGACCTTTTTAGGATCCTATCCCTAATTCGGGAGGGAATGGGATGATTTACAAATGAGTTTATGATATTCATGTAACTCTTTGAAATTTCAGGATCGCTGATGTAGACATGGCTGTCTCCTGGGTCCTCAAACCGCAACATCGTTCCAGAGTCATGTTCCAACGCTTCATGCCCTGGTGGAACGCTTTAAAACGCAAAGAAATTGCCGAAAAGAAGGAACGGGAAGCTCTCGAAAAGGCTAAAAAGGAAGAAGAGCTGAAGAAACTTGAAGCAGGTAATGAAAACAAAGCAGAAGATGATGCCAATAAAGAAGATGATAAAGAATTACAAAGTCCTATGTCTGTTCTAGAAGAGAATTTTAAGAATAATGTCAAAGTAAACGATTTGACAGAAAATGTTAATAATAGTTACCAAATTGTACAGGTTAATGAGAAAAAAGTTGATCTGGCCACAGATTATAAAGTGCCGGCGGTTGAAACTTGACAGATGTGTAATGAGGTTTTGTTTGTAGTCTATGGCGTTGGGTAGTTGTGGTTTGAGATTGAAAATACGACCCTAATACGATCGGTCTATTTGGTTCTTTTTTTTTGTTAGAAAAAAAAATGCGTTTAAATTGATATTGGGTCTTAGAAAATTTGGAAAATGTAAAAAAATGACATGCTTAAGTTCACGACTTTAATAGTTTAATAAATTTAAAATTAAAAAAAGCCCCGATTAATAAAGCATAAGCTACCTTTAAAAAGTATATAATACAAAAAAAAAACTTAATTGAAATCGTTTCATCCGTTCAGGAGCTATGATGCCACAGACAGACAGACACGTTAAACTTATAACACCCCTCTTTTTGCGTCGTTGGTTAAAAATGTTTTTTCTTATTATTTTTATCTACAGATTTTTCCTTTCTTAGTACCTAATCTAAACTAAATGTAGGTAAGTATATGCAAAATTTTTAGTAAATTTTTTGTTGAAACACAGATATGTCAAACATATTCACTTTGTTTGGGTAAATAATTCGATAGTTTAAGTAATATAAGCGTGTCTAGCTATGACGGGCTTGCATTGCTTAAATTGTGTTTTATTAATCTTCAAACCCAAGAAAAATACAATTATTCAACCATTCAGTTAAGTTCTATCAAAAAGACACGCTGTTAATGACACTTGCATTGCTTAAATTGTGTTTTATTAATCTTCAAACCCTAGAAAAATACCATTATTCAAAAAGTCATTACAGTTCTATCAAAAAGACACGCTGTCCAACATGTCCTGGTTATCAAGAGGACATGTGAGTCCAAACTCGATATAAATACTAGTAGACAGTCCAAGGTTCCATCAGCGACCTTCCAACTCCATCATCAAACCAGCTCGACGGTACCATTTTATTGTGTTGTCATAGATGACAATATATGAAACTTAGCAATTGTGTGTGGAGTTTCATGTTGATATAACAATTACAAATGTGTGGAATTCTGATTCTTAGATTTTTTACGGACTTCGTTACAGGTCGACTTCATAAAAGTTTGTTTTGACAAATCTGATCTTTACTGATGAATATTTGTAGATTCATAAAGAGAAGAACGGGCAAGAAATTCCTTTGTTACTAACCTCTCAAATTAAGAGAAATGTTTTAAATTTAAGCTACATTTCTATAGCTCATGAAGAGTAGGTATAAAAAACCTTAAAAGTTTTGTCGTGAACTTGTAAACCAGAACTACCCAATACCTTATTTGAAAGGAGCTTCCATTTTTTTGCGCAACAGATGATAAAAAAAAAATCTTTGACCAATCACTGCAACTGATAAAAATTAAACGTCCAATGACAGTAATTCTAACACCTTATTGGACGAAAAGCTAAAGGTACACACTAACGCCATCTGTTGAGCAGAAAATGGAATGTAGTCCTACTAAAACTCAAGTCACTCTGTCTAGTGCCTTTTCACACAAGAGACTGATGATATCCATAGCGAAAGTACCTAAAATTATTCCAATGAGACGGAAAATTTAACGTTTTCATTATAATTAATTAAGTGTGGGAGAGCCATGCTTCGGCACGAATGGGTCGCCTTGACCGGAGTGATACCACGGCCTCACAGAAAACCAGCGTGTAGCAACCACAGCGTTGTTTGTCAACACACAACCTTCCAATCCTTCCCCTCCCCCCTAAATCTCCAAATCCCTAATCCCCAAAAGGTCGGCACCGCACTCGTAACTCCTCTATTACCTTTGTTGTTGCGGGTGCCCACGGGCGGCGCTGATTGCTTACCATCAGGTAATCCGTCTGCTCGTCGACGACCTACTTAAGAAAAATTAAATACACAATCAAGTATTTACCTTATCCTTTACTAAATAAAGTTTAATTTTAAACAACATTATTTACTTACAATGAAAATTGATCCTAATTGTCTTTTGTACAAGGTTCAAAATATAATTTCGTCTCATTGGTTTAATTTTGACGGTATCAGACAATGTGTATATGTATATATATAACTTAAACATTATTCTTAAGATTTTTCTTTTATCATTTGCACTGAATTTTGCTGTTTATATAGTTTTTAATGAATTTTCTTATGTGTTTCTTTCTACCAGAAAGTTATAACAAAACCAAGATAATATTGGTTAAGCTACGTTAGCAAAGGTTAGTATTTGGATGGGTGACCGTTGCTAGCATGTCCATGTTTTAAACTACTAAGAACGGATCTTTCAATAGTCAGATAAGCGTTATCTGAGGAATAAAATTGTAGCTCTCACTGTCTTATACAAACATTCTGACGCGACAGCATCATCATTATTCTCCAGGTAACTTTTATCTAACCATTGAAAAATAAGTTTGAATTGTTTTGAGACATATTTTTTTGCGAAACCTACCTGTGTCGGACATGCCTGACTAATTTCAAGCTACACCGGGGTTTTTAATCTAAAACTGCGCGAATTCTCGACCACGTTCCATTCTCCCTGCAACAATCCACCCAAGCTATTCAACCATTGGTAATATTAACATCGAAAATAAGAAATTTCATTAAAATACAAAATTATATATTTTGCAAATGTACTTCCTATCATATATACATTTAAATGTAAATATTACTATTAAAGAACTTAAAAATTGTATAACTTAATATACATACATTAAAAAATGTTGTTACGGTTTGTGCTCAACTAAATTTCTTTTGTACATCACGAACCGATTTTAAATGTAATACCGATTTTAAATGCAAAAAGAACTTCATTTAAAATGTAAAAAAATGGTGTTAAATGAAGCTAAGCATTTATTTCGTATGAAATTGTACGGAAAAGTATTGTTTTCTGGTTTTTGGCTCCGAAAAAAGCCTTTTACCCTGGCTCGCGTTTTGGTCATAATTTATTTGACTCAATATTCAGAATAACCTTCATAGGTTAAAAACATCTTAAGATTAAAATTACATTACCTATAAACTCAAGTATTGACGAAACGGCCTATGTCTTCTCTCGACCTATATTTATGGAAAAAATATTTATGGGATTCTTTCATATATGGGACCTTATGCTACATCAACGCCTCTAGCGGCGTTTGGTGAAAATCGTATCAATAAGGAAAGATATCATTGGATCCCCATCTTTCCTTTCTTCGTCCATCTTGCATGGATAAATGGCTTTAGAAAAATATGTTTTCGCATCAATAATTGTTATTTTAATACGGGCCGATTTTTCAATAGTCAGATAAATGTTATCTGAGGAGTGAAATTGTTGCTGTCACTGTCTTATACAAACATTCTGACGCGACAGCATCGTAATTATTTTCCAGGTAACTTTCATCTAACCACTGGAAATCGGCCCTAAATAGAATATATATACTTCACTCAAGCGAAGTCTGTAAGCGGTTTCTACATTAAATTTTATTCCCTGACCCATCTAGTTATACTTTCAAATGCTCGAACTATTTTCAGCTTGGAAGAAAGAAAAATCAGGTACTCTCGACTTTCTTCGAGCTCGATAACATTCAACACAACCCGAAAATGGGTTAATTATGTTCGCCTATTTTCTGACCTGCATTAAGAGCTCTCTGCTAACTCGAAAGTATACCAAACAACCCGAAAATGACGTCGGCTCAAATAAAGCTCAAAGTATGCTTAAATTTTACGGGTTTTTAAATATAAATTTATGTGAATAACGCGAAGTCTTAATCTAGACTTTTGTTAAGTGAAAATAAGGTTTGTTTTAGACCGTAGCATGTAAAATCGCTGAAAAATTTCGCTTCCAAACACTTGGACCTTTTATATTATTTTGTATATAATTGTATTAAAATGAATGTACCAAAATAGTTCGTATATTAAGTCTGATTTAATTGTCAGTTGTATGTGTCACTTTGGTTAATAAAAAAGATATTTTGAATGATTTTTACGAAAAACTGTTAATAAAATCAATTAACAAATTTACATATATTAAAAATTTTGTGTGTTCCAATTTCAAAATATCTCTTTTTGACCGTTACTTTGCGAGTGTTGCCATCACAAAAATTCTGTAAAGTTGCCACGTAAGTGATTTTGTATAATTTTCAATTAAGTTAAACTTTAAATTGTGCTAGTTTGTTAAATGTATAAAGGTTTTGGTGTTCGTAAATATACTGTATGTAACGTATTTGATTATTTTATTACAAACATCCTGTTATCCCTTTCCCGTGGGAATCTCTCAGTAAAAACTACACTTTTACACGTCAAAATTATATACAAAAAACTAGTAGAAGCATTTCCTATCTGACTATTCTGAGAAGAAATGACGAAACAAATTCAGAGGTCAGTCCCATAATTAATTAAATAAATAAATAAATAAAATAAATAAATAAATAAATTTATTTGATGGGAATTCATCAAATGACGATGCTAGAACCAGACTGAAATAACTCCAAAGAGTAAAATAACATACAAGGTATAGAGAGCCAGGTGAATGAAATTTTTGACACCCTATTCCGATAGTATCACGCCACCTGTAGATTTATCCTCAGAACTAAACACAGTAATTTTTGGTCGAAGTCTTCTAAAAAGACCAGAGATATTACATAGTTGACGCCGCGGCTAGTCAATTAGGCCAATTCCCGCACGGAACAACTCTGTGATCCACAAATTTTTGTTCTGGATCTGGGTACCTATGATCTGTATGAGTCATTGTATGTTTGTAAACGCGCCCACGACACAGTGGAATATCCATTAGGTATCCAGTCAAGTATAATATTAGTACTTTTGCTAAAATTTCTACGAATAGCTTTGTTATGGGCTAAATGATTTGACTTTCTACTTTGAAGATGACATAAATTATGCTCATAAATGGCAACGCCAAGTATTTTTTTGTGAGGGGAAAACATGAAACAACTTCTCCCGCCCAGGGTGGTGTGCGAGGGAGTGTCAGACTCTTACTGACTAAAAATCCCCCCGTTTTTTTTCCTGCTCTAGGCCAAGAGCGCGGTGCCATATCGCGCTTGCCCCGCAGCATGTTTTTATGTACCTACCTAAGTAGATAACTAACAGATTTACTGCAATGCTACAATTGGACATAGAGGGATGTAGACTAACTGAACATTTGTCTGAACACTACCTACTGTTACAGTACCTATCTAAAGGTCCACCTATAAAAAGGTGCTGTGCTTAACATATACGTAGGTATTGGTAAAATGTATAAATAAAAAAAATATTAACGATGGAGTTTCATTCTCGTTCTTCTCCATTCGAATCTACACTTTCGAATGAGCATCTAGCTTCACGGACGAACTGACGGACAGATAACTATAACCTATTCTATTTTGAGGTTTCAAAGTACCTATATAGGTAGGTACATGCGATACACGGTGGCAATGAGTCCACTCATTGCCTCGCGCCAAGGTAATAATATCTACAAGTATTTCAACTTCATAGAATCGGCCGAAACGCGAACTATACCTACGCGCCCGATGTCGGGACGCGCTCGGGACGCAGACAGACGCGGCTGTACCGCAGTGACGAACGGACGGTGTGTTGTCTTTTATTTAGAAATCAGCTCGAGTACATTATTTAATATGACGAATAGGAAATATTGTGCTGTTATTATGTTTGGTTGCATGAATTCGTCAATAACGCATCCAGACATAAGTTTTTTTTAAATTACCTTGAAACTCTGAAAGGTAAGACTATAAAATAATTTTAGTAGCCTAGGTAGGCACATAATGTGTGTCTTTATGGATCATTATTTCCAGTTATCTCACGAAAACAGATGTTTGAATTTATAAATAATATGAATAAAGTTATTGAGACGAGTGAAATAGGTAGTTATAGGCGGTTCTGGTTCTGAATGAATCATGATACGTTAGGTACCTACCTACTTACGCTTGTGTTAAAACGGTTCATGTATGTTTTGTTAGTTTGTATAATTCAAAGTAGAGAGTGTGGTATTTTATTATTAATAATATTTGTTTATTATCTGCGTTTATGAATAATACTAGAAAATATTTAATAACAACAATAAAACAGCTAGACTCATGTAATATTTTGATGTTTGAGGGTTGTGATTTTAGAACATTCGTAATCAGCTGTTCAGTTCGGCATTAGTGGCCAAAGAAATTTTGTTTGTTTATTTTTAAAGCACTTTATTTGTTTATATAAAAAAAGGATATTTACAATCACAAAACTAAATGGAAACAGAAAGTAGACAAAGGTAATTAAAATACTGGAGACGAGCAGCCCTAACGCATGTTTACGTACCGCGCGGCTGTAGGTATTTATTTCTTTCAAGCGGCCGAGTTACAATACTGTATGATATTTATACTGTGCTCGCGCGCTCGGTGTCTCTTGAGGTGCTGCGCCCACTCTGCTCCTCTTTATCCACCACTTGGAATACTTGAAAAAGATTACACTAATTCGATATTCTATGCCGTTGTTAGAATTAATAGCCAAAATACCTATTTATTTATTTTCCATAAAGGTGTTTTGCTTCGGCACCTATGGGTCGGTTCGACCGGAGTGATACCCCACAGAAAACCGTCGTGGAAAAACCCAACAGCGTTACGTCTTGTCGTGTGAGTGAGGTTACCGGAGGACCAATCCTTGCCCTACCCCATCCCGCCCAATCCTTCAATATCCGAAAGCCTAATCTTCAAAAGGTTGGCAACGCACTCGTAACTCCTTTGGTGTTGCATTGGTCCGATTGCATACCATCAGTTAATCGATAAAACATAATTTTATTATTTACTAGCGGCCCGCCACCGCTTCGCACGGGTCTCCCACTATCTCGCTTACGACTAAAGTGTCCCTATTTCCCAGATCTCCCCTCCACTTTTCTAGAATTTTCTTATTTCATAAGAACCTTCTCCTGACAATAACAAACATAACAAAAAAATAATTAGCAAAATTGGTCCAGGCGTTGTTGAGTTATGCGCTTACCAACACATTTTGCGATCCATTTTTATATATAAGATTACACTCAGTCTTTGTAGGAGATTGGCATCTGCAGTAAGAAACCATGTCACACAGGTTTCGAGGAAGTAGTAAAGTTGATGATTCAGGTTTAAAAATGAAATATAAAAAGAAATACAAAATAAATTAATTTATTAAACTAAAAATACAACATACAAAAACTAACTTACATACCTATCGCATGCAAGAAATAACTTAAAATATAAAACGCAGTTAGAACGAAAAAGCTTACAATTTTAAACAATACAAAAAGATATATGGGCATTATAATGTAAGTTAATGTTTTAAATACAAATTGTTTTTTTCTCGCGTAAACCGTGCCTTTCAATCCGTCTTTTATGATGTATTTTCTCAATCCTAAACACCAAATATGCATGTATTCGCGCCAATTGATTTTGCGAACGTCAAAGTCAAAAATTTCTTTGTCTATGGTCGATAAACTGTCATACAGAGACGCAGTGTTGTCATCAACAAATCTCCACTGGTTTGTGGTGAAATACGCTAATGCTGAACACATGTTGTACATCTTTTGGAAGACTTTCAGGTATCTGAAAGAGAGATAGATAACAGTTAGACATTTTTGAAATACCATCTTTCTGTTAATAATAGCCGGTGTGTAAAAAAGGTATTTTGACGTAGCTTAAAACTTTATCTTTTTACACTCCAGTTATTAGGCAAGTTGTAAAAGCGTTTAGCGGGCCAAGGGTTCTAAATAACGTTTTGATTCCCATAATTCGGTAGTATCTTACTAATCAAATTCAATACTTTAACGAAATTTATTTATGAAATTGGTATGAAACTCCAAATTATGGGAATTAAAACGTTATTTAGAACCCTCGGCCCGCTAAACGCTTTTACGACTTGCCTACGTCATAGTATTATGTGTCAAATAACTAACTTATTTTTGAAAAACTATCGAAAATACCACAAATTAGTGTATTCACAAAACGACGAATAAAAATATAGCTATTTTTCGCCCAGGGTGAGGCGAGAAGGAGTTTTAGACTCTTACTGACTAAAAACACCCCGTTGCCTTCTGCTCTAGGCCGTGGCCCTGATACCTTATTGAGCATGCCCGCAATCCAGACTGAACATCAGCCCTATAGGGCGCCGTCTATGGTGGTCTATTGGCACTTTGTACGTTCGCGAAGTGTGGGAGATGCTTCGGCACAAATGGGTCGGCTCGACCGGAGTGATATCACGGCCTCACAGAAAACCGGCGTGAAAGAACCACATCGTTGTGTTTCGCCGTGTGAGTGAGGTTACCGGAGGCCCAATCCTTCCCCTCCCCCAATCCCTCTTCAATCCCTAAATCTCCAAATCCCTAAAAGGTCGGCAATGCACTCGTAACTCTTCCGTTGCGGGTGTCCATGGGCGGCGTCGATTGCTTACCATCAGGTAATCCGTCTGTAATGGCAGAAAAAAATAAAAAATGTTACAAATTTTACCTCCTCTCCTTGCCCAGAATGGCGCATATTCCATCAATAATATGTCCAGGAATAAGGTGCAAAATCCAGGAGTAGATTAAGAACACAAAATGATATTGCGTTTGCCATATGAACCCCCAGCCGACCGCTGCGGGCGTTGGATAGTCTCTCCTAATTTCTTGAGTAATCACGTCCGTTATATAGTCTGAAAAAAATGTACGTAATGTTAATCCAAATCCAAACAAAGTAATACTTTTTTTATCGAATAGGTCGGCAAACGAGCAGACAGATTACCTGGTGGTAAGCAATCGGCGCCGCTCATGGACACCCGCAACACCAAAGGAGTTACGAGTGCGTTACCGGCCTTTTGGTTATAGGGGTTGCGGATGTAAGGATCGGGAAGGGATAGGGGAAGGGGCGGGATTGGGCCTCCGGTAACCTCACTCACACGGCGAAACACAACGAAGGCTCTCCCACAATTATAGTATCTTCGGTTTTTAGCGCAAGTGTAAGTCAACTAATAATTACATAAAAACTCTATTACTCGCTGTCTATTTTTTGTGAGGAGAAATTATTATATGACTTCGGGGGTGGGGCAGGAGGGGGCAGATCATATGACTTCTCCTACCCAGGGTATGTCAGACTCTTACTGACTAAAAACCCCCTGTTCCCTTCTCCTGCTCTAGGCCGAGGTCGCGGTGCCTCATTGCGCTTACCTCGCAACCCCATCTGTCTATTTAATAATAATACCTAATTGCCGTGGGATAAGAGCTACTTTATGAGGAAGTGTATTAAAAAAAACTTACCCCAACGTGTAGGATTCCTTGTGGAAGCAGTAACGGAGTATATCTTGGGCGTCTTATGACCAGCTGCTACTCGTTTGGCAGTCTCCCAAGCAGCGGCAAGGATGGCATTGTTCACATAGTCTACTGGCACCAAACCAATGTGGATATCATCTCTAGCCATGAACGAGTGCATCAGACCTATACCTGGACCAAGGATGATCTGGAAATAAGACAAAAAAAAATCTTGTTAAAATGTCCTTGAAAAAATCAAAAAGCACCCGCTTTGAATAAGGGCTACTGTGATTTTTTCCATATCACACATCATCAGCCTATAAGTGTCCATTGCTGAGCAAAGGCCTCTTCTCACATGGAAAAAGATTGAGCATTAGTCACCACGTTTGCGCTAGGCGGATTGGCGATATGAAACTTATAATTGGAAATTACAAGTCCAGGTTTCCTCACGATGTTTTCCTTCACCGTATGTCAGTGGTGTCTAAATAATCATAGAAAGTACATATAACTCGGAAAACGTCACATTGGTAGTTGTCAGGTTTGAAACCCGCTCCCTCATGTATGAGGAGCGAGCGCCTCACCACCAGGCCAGGCCATAATACTTATGTACTTTCTAAGAGTGTGTGCATACGGTAGAGGAAATCTGGAATTCTAATTATAAGTTTTAAATCGCCAATCTGCCAAGAGATTTATGCTCAAATCTTCTCATTGTGAGAAAAGGCCTTTGCTCAGAAATGGACCTTTAACTATTGATGATAAAAACGAATGAGAAACCTCTATAAGCAGAGTAAGTATGGTCATGGTGGCCCGGAAGTTAAGAAGCCCGCTTCTCATGCATGACGGTGTGGGTCCGAAACCTGGCAAGTACCAATGTGACTTTTTCCCAATTATAAGATTTAACCCCATTTGTGGTGGTCTATTAGCTCTTGGAGGCGAGCGCGGAACGCAACGCGCCGTATACTCGGGTCTGGTTCTGGTCGGGCGACAAGCAAGTACCCTTACTCGCCGTCCGCATTTATACTGTGCTTAAGTTGTTCAAGTATGAAGAAGGTATACTCACGCCGCTAGCGCCGTAAACATTGGACATGTCCAACCATCCCGGACTTGGTTCCTTTATAGAACTTATAACTGAAAATAAGAAATATTTATTAATTTATGTTAATACAACTTCGATCCAAATACATTAACAAAAAAAAAAAAACACAAGAAAAATTGACAACATTCTTAACTTCCTCTAGCAGTTACCTCATGTATTCCAATAAATTTTCCTTCCAACCATCTGTAAACAGATCAATAGTAGGACTGGATTCCAGAGAGTGTGAGTGAGGTTACCGGAGGCCCAACCCCCCCTAAATCCCTAATCCCTAAAAGGTCGGCTACGCACTCGTAACTCCTCCGTTGCGGGTGTCCATGGGCGTCGCTGATTGCTTACCATCAGGTAATCCGTCTGCTCGTTTGCCGACCTGTTACATAAAAAGGAGACCATGAAGACCGTTTGGGATATACATTTATTGTTACTTCAATGTACAAAAGTTGCCCGATCCATTTCCACAACAGAGGCCAGTCTGTCTAACTAACCTAGTCTACTATGCAGGAGATATTTAGTGCACAAGTTTATGCACAAATACAGACGCTTTCTCTGTTCCCTAACTCTCTGCCTCCGATGGCACGGCAGTCCAACACGACTGGTGAGAGGTCAGGGACTAACAGCTTAACATGGCACGAAGGCGACGATTGCTTACCATCAGGTAATTCGTCATTACATTTTGCTAGCCTGTACCATAAAAAAAACTCCTCACCTATCGCTGGTCTGACCACACATAGGGGTAAACCTTCGCACATATTCTTCACGGACTCCTCGGCAACCGCCTTCCCAAACGAGTAAGTATTTGGCCAGTTCTTAATCAAACTGCAAAAAGCAATTATGAATTTTATTATGAATACAAAGGTATGTGATATTATCATCATCATCATCATCATCAGCCCATAAGTGCCCACTGCTGAGCAAAGGCGTCTTCTCATCATGGGGATGGTTTGAACATTATCGAAAAACTCCTTCGACGTGTGTCAGAAGTGTCTAAATAAACATAGACGGTACTTGTAACTCGGAAGAAGTCACATTGGTTCTTGCCAGGTCGAAAGCCTTCAGGTTGGGGGTATCCGATAGTACGGTATACTCGGTATGCAGGTAAGAAAAGTAGATTGGTATGTGTGGGAGAGCCATGATTCGGCACGAACGGGTCAGATCGACCGGAGTGATACCACGGCCTCACAGAAAACTTGCGTGAAACAACCACATCGCAGTGAGCTTACTGAAGACCCAAAACTTCTCCTCCAACAAACCTAAAATCTCCAAAACTCTAATCCCCAAAAAGCCAACAAACACTTTCGTAACTCTTCCTTTGTTGGGTGTACACGAACGGCGTTGATTGCTTACCATCAGGTAATCGGTTCGCTCGCTTGCCGACCTATCACATAAAAAATAAAAAAGGACAATTAAGAGAAAATAGCTATTGTTACACTAAATTCAATGTTTTTTTATTGAAGCCATATTTTTTGTTACCATCGCCTCAGTAGCCAAATAACTCTCTGTACTGAGACAGATTTACAGCATTTCAAACCATACCTAGGTGCACGGGTCTGCGGACGGCGAGTAAGGGTAGCTCGCCGCCCGACCAGAACCAGACCCGAGCGTACGGCGCGTAGCGTTCCGTGCGCGCCTCAAAGAGCAAATAGACCACCACAGACGGGGCCCTATAGGTCTGATGTTCAGCCGGGGTTGCGGGATAAGCGCAATGAGTAACCTCAGCCCAACCCAGAGCAGGAGAAGGAGCAGGGGGGTTTTTAGTCAGTAAGTGTCTGACACTTTCTCCTGCCCGAACCTGAGCCTGAGAAGTCATTCGATGATTTTCCAATCACAAAAACAAACCTTACCTAGGTGTAATACTGTTCAATCTAGCTTCATCAACACTTTCAACCATTTTGATCAGGGTGTCCGGATCGATGGGGGCTTTGTAAAAGTCTTCCAAAACCTCTGTATCAATTAGATTGTCGCAGGCATAGGAATATGCTGTTGACACGTGGACGTAGGATCTGGAAACATAATGTATTTATATACTACATCTATACTATATATATAAAAGAAAGTCGTGTTAGTTACTCCACTTAAAACTCAAGAACGGCTGAACCGATTTAGCTGAAAATTGGCAGGGTGGTAGCTAAGAACTGGGAGAAGGACATAGGATAGGATAGGGTAGGATAGAGTTGGTAGTGTAGGATAGGATAGATTAGGTAGTGTAGGTTAGGTAGAGTAGGGTGGGTAGTCAAATGACGGGAGCGACGCCGCGGGTAATAGCTAGTATATATATATATATATATATACAAACAGGTTATATATTCACGCCTTTCGCCTACGGAAAGAAAGAAGGAAGGAAAGAAATAAACATTGTATACATATATAAATATATAGACTGCACGGTTGGCGCGGTGGCTGGGAAACTGGCTGCTGCGCAACGTGTCGCGGGTTAAATTCCCGCACGTAAAAAAAATGGTTCAATTAAAACCAAGCACAGACAACCGACGCGACGTTCAATAACGTTAACGATGTATTTCCTCGAATATGTAATATAATGGCGGACAACCATTTTCCAAAGACGGACAATAAACTTGTACTTGCTCTAAAGTTTCAGGTATCCTTGGGCTTGCTTACATCAGGTCTAATCATTTCTCAGGCTAGCTAAGAACCTTGTTCATCATGTGTTTTATAATAATGAGTTCCGGCGTGTCTGCTTGCCCGAACCGTTTATGAAAAGACCACTACAGAATGAACTTACACGATTCTCACACATTATCTGGAGTTTAAAAGAGACTATCCAGCAGTGTGATTCTGTAAGACTTCATTCTAAACTTCGAATCTGAATCCGCTGTGAGTAGTAATACACTAGCGCTACACTTGCGAGTTGAACTAAATTGACCGCAACATCTTAGATAAAGTATAAGATGACGTTAAAAGTGGCATTCTAAAATTTAATTTCCCCGTCACTTCGCACTCGAACACGCACTATATACAAAAAAAACATTGTTTCATTGTCACGAGAAATATTGAGCTAGCTTTAAAGTTGAAGATTAACGAATAAACTTACTTCAACTGTTTACAAGCCTTGCCAAGGATGAGCGCTTCCCTAGCTCCTCGGACGTTGATCATGGTAGCTACACGAAGGGTCTCATCAAATCTTGTTGTAGCAGCCATGTGGAATATAATATTTACCTGTAAAAAATCATCACTATCATCAGCTCAGAGCAGACACATAACAAGACAGACTTCTACAGAAAAACGTCTTTTTCTTTGTGAGCGAAAAATCATCAAATGATTTCTCCTGTCCTGGGAGTTTTTGACGAAAAACATTATTTTCCAACCTTTTAAGTGTGGGAGAGCCATGCTTCCGCACGAATGGGTCGGCTCGACCGGAGTGGTACCACGGCCTCACAGAAAACCGGCGTGAAACAACCACAGCGTTGTGTTTCGCCGTGTGACCCGATCCCTCCCAAATCCCTTAATCTCCAAAACCCTAATCCCTAAGAGGTCGGAAACGCACTCGTAACTCCTCCGTTGTTGCAGGTGTCCATGGGCGTCGCTGATTGCTTACCATCAGGTAATCCGTCTGCTCGATTGCCGATTTATTACATAAAAAAAACCCTGTCCCTTCTCCTACTCTAAGCCGTGGCAGAAAAACATCTGCCATCATCTCTGTGCTCGACCCAGTAAGAGATCTCAGCTTAAAAGTTTCAGGTTTATCGAAGAGCGCTGCTGCCTGGCCTCTGTCTAATGTATAAGGTACCTAAGGTACGACCTCAACCTGGAGCAGGAGAAGGAACGATGAGGTTTCTAGCTTCCTCACCATACCCTGGGCGGAAAAAGCTTAAAGTGATTTTCCGACCATTTACAAAGGGGCGTTTTGTGAGAGTATAACCATCAAATGACTTCTGCCAGCCAGGGTACGGTGAGAGAGGGAGTCAGACTTTTAACCTTGACTAAAACCCTTCCCCGTTCCTTCTCTAGACCAAGGCAGAGGTACCTTCTAACAATTGTTTTATTTTAAAAAGAGTAACCATGGAGTTTCTCTCTTGTTCTTCTCCATAGGAATCTACACTTTGGAACGAGCAAATAGCTTCACTAGAGGTCAGACCGACAGACTGACACGCAAACTTTTTGATATTTGTTTTTCGTTCGACGTTCAAAAGTGCATATAGTGCTCTATTTGAAATAAATGTTTTGACTTTGACTTTGACTTTATTGCGCTTGATCCCGGAACCCTGGATGGACATCAACCCTAGTAGCTCCCATCTGCGGTGACCCAATGCCTCATTGGGGCTCGCTGAATGAGTCTAGTAGTTCTAGTAGGTTTACCCTTGCTCACCGCTCGCAGACCCACAATTACGGTAACTGAAGATGGTTATATATTACTATATATATACATATATTGAGTTGGTCATCGCACTAAATAATTTAATTAACACGTGTTTTCATGCGATGGCCGAGTCAATATATTTATATAAAACATTAAAGATTTTTAAGATTGTGATGCGTCACTATAAGATGCTGTCAATTATTACGTAACAACTTAATGCTTCGAGTACTGAGGAGATTCCAGACACAATTGATTTTCAATTGTTATGGACCACGATCGTGGTCTTAGGGAGTGGACGTATAAGGCTAAGAACTCACGGAGCGATTTTGAACCGTGCCCGCCGCGGTAGCGGAACTGCGGTTTTATTTCCAAACTCACGAGACCGGTTATTTGCGCGGTTACACAGCCGCCGCGGTTGCGATCATCGCCCGCAAACGTGGCGGGCGATGATCGCAAGATTGCAAGACGGGCAGTTAACGATCAGTTGAGGTCCAGACCGCCATGGACACACACCAGAAACGAGCCGTTGCGTTATATTTACTTCACAGAAGACCCGCTGGCCCCCGCGGTCGCTCGCCAACCGATCGCAAAGCGCGCGGGTGCCACCCGCCGAGGCTGCGGGTAACCGCGGCCCGCGCGATTCTACTAGTTGCCCGCCGGTACAGCGGGAGCCGCATACAACCGCGTACACCGCGGGCGTAAAACGCGTCGTGAAATGTGGTTTAATTTTTTATATAAATATTTGAATTCTATAGAAGCTGCGGGCCCGCAACCGCAGCGGACGCGGGCGAAAATCGCTCCGTGAGTTCTTAGCCTAAGTAGTTAGTATTACATGGATAAGACTTGGTATTACATGGATCTCACAACATTTTACCGTAGAACAACTGAGTTGCGAGACTTGGTTTTTTTGACAAGTATTGTTTTTGATAGGATTACCTCTTCTGAAAGCATCTTCCAATCTTTGTCACTTATGCCGAGCCTAATTTCGGCAACATCGCCAGCTATAGGCACGATCTTGTTCAAGGCTTTAGGCCTGTGCTCTTTGACCCACTCGAAAACCTGGAAGAGAAAAGAATATTATTGATTAATCATCATACTGAATGTGGGAGAGCCATGCATCGGCACGAATGGGTCGGCTCGACCGGAGTGATACAAAGGCCTTACAGAAAACGGTCGTAAAACACCACTGCGTTGTGTTTCGAATTGTAAGTGAAGTTTCCCGAGGCCCTACTCATCCCATACACCAATCCCTTTCCAATGCTTAAATATCCGGAACTCTTATGCCCAAAAGGCCAGCAACGCATTCATAACTCCTTTCGTGTTGCGGGTGTCTATGGGCGGCGTATCAGGTAATCCATCAGTTCATTTGCCGCCGGGTCACACTTAATAGCTCCTATAGTGTCCATGGGCGGCCTGATAGCTTACCATCAGGTAATCCGTCTGCTCGTGCTATTCTATGTATTCCATAAAAAAACTACTTACAGGATCCTGAAGCAGTTCATTTGTCCTCAATTCTACAGCTTTCCCCTTCTTTGGTCTTAATAATACGAAGACCTTTGACACATTAGTTGCTCTGTGAACAAGAAAAAAATGATAATTATATATAATTATACCTATGTATGTACCTATACATATATAGAAAAATGCCTCGATAATTATTTTTTCAAAGTTTTTTTCCAAGCAGGAGTAAATGTAAAAAATTGCAAAAAAACCATGCTTCGGCACGAATGGGTCGGCTCGACCGGAGTGATCCTACGGCCTCATTGAAAACCGGCGGGAAACTACCACAGCTTTGTGTTTCGCCGTGTGAATCAGGTTAACGGAGGCCCAATCCCTCTTCAATCCCTAATCCCCAAATGGTCGGCAATGCACTCGTAACTCCTCCGTTCTTGCAGGTGTCAATGGGCGGCGCTGACTGCTTACCATCAGGTAATCCGCCAGCTCGTTTGCTGACCTATCACATAGAAAAAAATCATTAATACAGGTGGTCTTAAAAATTCGTGTTTCATTATTACCTGAACAGTTTTTCAATGAGCTGCTTCCCCAGGAAACCAGTTCCTCCAGTGACGAAGACTTTTTGGCCATCGTAAAACTGCTGTACAGTTGAATTTCCACGGGCGGTGGCTTCAAGCATTGGCTTCTGTCGAGCCAAGAATTGGAGCTCCAACTCCCGGGCAGGATCCAATGGTTCTGTTTCACCCATGGTTCTTGAAGACCTGGAGATATTGGTATTATTTTTAAGTAAGATTTAATTAATTTAAAAATCCGAAACCTGGCAAGTACCGATGTGGCTTTTTCCAAGTAGACACTACTGAAAAACATCGTGAGGATACCTGGACTTATTACTAATTACGAGTTTGAAATTTTAGGATTGGGAAAGGGGAGGATTCGGCCTCCGGTAACCTCACTCACACGGCGAAACACAACGCTGTGGTTGTTACATTCCAATTTTCTGTGAGGCCGTGGTATTACTTCGGTGTAGGCGACCCATTCGTGCCGAAGCATGGCTCTCCCACACTTAAAAAGGAAAGGATACTTAAATAAGGGAATAACGGCGTTGTGGGTCGCCAATCTATACTAATATTATAAAGAGGTAAAATTTGTAAGTTTGTATGTAGGGGGTAATCTTTGGAACCGCTGTTCGGATTGCCAAAATTCTTTCACTGATAGACAGTTACAATGTTCCTGAGTGCTATAGGCTATAAAACGTCACACTACGATCAAATGGAGCCGAGCAGCGAGTGAAACCACGCGAGAGTAGCCAGTCACAGTATAAATGCGTTCACTTAACTACAGTTGCTTGCATAATATTAGTTAACTATTTTTACAAGGTAGGAAAAGAACCCAGAATAGTTCATTACACGTCTATCTCATGTGTTATTCAACAACGGTGACATGACTGGCGACCTCTGTAGTGTATATTTTGTGAAAAACAATTACAACAATGCATAAATCCATATTCATTAATATACTTATTGTCTGGAACTGTAACTGGACTGTAATAGAAAAAATGCCCGTTATTCAATCCAAACTAGTAATATAAATGCGAAAGTAACTCTGTCTGTCTGTCTGTGTTTTCTTCACGCCTAAACTACTGAACTGATTTCTGTGAAATTTGGTACAGACGTAGTTTGGAACTTGAGAAAGGACATAGGAGAGTTTTTATACTAAAATCCTGCAGGAAGTGACTATTCCACTCGAAACAAAAGGGGTAAATAAGTGTGGGAGAGCCATGCTTCGGGCACGAATGTGTCAGCTCGACCGGAGTGATACCACGGCGTCAGAAAACTGACGTTAAACAACCACAGCGTTTTGTTTTGATGTGTGAGGGAGGTTACCGGAGGCCCAATACTTTCCTCTTTCCCTATTCCTTCCCAAACCTTAAATATTAGCAAAACCCTTATCCCTAAAAGGCCAGACCGCCTCATAACTCCTTTGGGATTGCGGGTGTCCATAGGCGGCGCTGATTGCTTACCATCAGGTAATCCGTTAGCTCGTTTGCCGACCCATACCTGAACTGGGAAATAAGGACCTTTTCGTCTTTAGCGAGATAGTTAGAGACCCGTTCGAAGCCAGGGCATGTCGCTAGTCTATACTAGAATATTATAAAGAGGTAAAATTTAAGTTTGTATTGTGACGGAAAACTCTTTGACATCATGACGTCAAGGGATGGTTGTCAAACGTTGCCTAGAGATTGTAAATTTCGTCGTGAATTGTCAACACGAGTTGGTGTAATCGGTAAGGCGTGTGGATTACACCACAGAGACCCCGAGTTCGAGTCCCGCCGTAAACATGAAGTTTTTTAGTTGATGGAAGTTTTGTCGAACTTTCTGGAATTATTTGAGTGAAAGAAATGAAAAATTAAGGAGCGAGAAGGAGAATAAATAAAAATGAATAACGAAATTATTGGAAGGTTCTGGAGGCATGACGATCAAAAAGAATAACGAAATTGAATGTTCTAGAACCTGACCGGGGGTATATAAGCGGAACTGCGGCTCACCGCTGGCAGTTGAGTTCTAAGTCTAAAGCGATTCGGAAGAAAAGGAAGAAGTGGAAAAGAAGAAAAGTGAGTGAAATAGTGAAGTGCAGTGAAATAGTGAAGTGCAGTGAAATAGTGAAGTGCAGTCAGTTAAGTGAGTTAAATCAGCGTGAACGGCAAAGTTGTGTCAGTCGGCCGGACTCTGCTGCAGAAGAACGCCGATAACTTAACTCCGTGGATGCTGTAACTTAAGTGCAATAGAAAGTCTGAAAACCGGTATAAGTGTTTCATTTCATCCAATCCCGTAACCCAAGCCCGCATATTCAGGAACGTGACGTCAGGCACGTAACATTTGGTGTCAGAAGTGGGATTGGAGAAAAATGCCGCTAGTGCCGCAGGACGTAAGAGGAGTGAGTACCCGTGCAATGTCAGAAGCGCAGCGTGTGAGGGAAGAGGGTGCTGCAGCTCAAACCAGCGATGCAGAAGCCAAGCCTGTGCAGGTGGATCTTCTGCTACAGCTGCAGCAAATGATGGCAGAGCAAGCGCGCCGCCAAGAAGAGCAAGCGCGCCGCCAAGAAGAGCAAGCGCGCCGCCAAGAAGAGCAAGCGCGCTGTCAGGCAGAACAGCTGCGGGAGCTGAAAGAAGAGCAAGCGCGCCGCCAAGAAGAGCAAGCGCGCCGCCAAGAAGAGCAAGCGCGCCGCCAAGAAGAGCAAGCGCGCCGCCAAGAAGAGCAAGCACGCTGTCAGGCGGAACAGCTACGGGAGCTGAAAGAAGATCAAGCTCGTCGCCAAGAGGATCAAGCTCGCCGCCAAGAGGAGCAAGCGCGTCGCTTGGAAGAGATGCATAAGGATTTCACGAAGGGACTGCAAAAGGCTGTCGAACGGGTACAAGAAGTGGAGGAAGGGTTAGGCAAGTTGGAACATCGCGTCATGGCGATAGAGGAGAGAGTGAAAGAAGAGATCTCCAAAATCAAGCAGGAAGTGACAAGCCCAAGCCCTTTGAAGAGCCGAAGCCGTCTTGCAGCCGTTTTTGACGCCCCAAATGTGGCCTCAAGCGCAACGAAAGGGCTCAAGATTCCCCATTACGACGGAACAACATCCTGGAACGCGTTCAAGCTACAGTTTGAGACACTTATGGAGGCTTATGGTTGGACTCAGAAGGAAGCACAGTCAGCCCTCACCCTGGCCCTCCGTGATCAAGCGCTCTCAGTGCTGGAAGCTATCGGCGCAAGTGGGGATCTTAGCTTAAGTGCCCTCCTCGACGCACTTGAGGCACGTTTTGGAGACAGCCACCTCGAGCACGTGTACAGAGCGCAATTAAAAGAGCGTACTCAGCGTGCTAATGAGAGCCTACAGCAATGGTCCGTGGAAATCGAGAAACTTGTGCGTCGAGCTTTCCGGTCGACTCCGTCAATGATTGAAGGCACGCTTCTCCAAGCGTTCATTGACGGTATTCGGGACCCCGAAGTACGAGCTGCTGTTCATCTGGGCCATCACAAGAACATGAAAGAAGCTCTGGCCCATGCATTGGAAGTGGAAGCTGTGCGTGGTAACTCCCGTACCTTATGTCTGCGGGAAATGACGACTACGGAGCAGGTACCTCCACGCCGTCGGAACTTCATGTGCTATGGATGCGGAGAGCGTGGGCACATGCGGAGCAACTGCCCGAAGAAGGTGAACCGCCAGGACGCGGCGGTCTCAACTTCTGACCAGCAGGGAAACTAATTCCAGCCAGGGCTGCGGGGTGGGCGCTGGCCGATAGTGGAATAACCCCAACAATCTACATCAAGCAAACTAACGATGGAAATACTCTGGTGATAGACGGTCAAGTAAATGGGAAAAACAGTCAGCTAACATTAGATACTGGAGCTTCAAGGACGGTGATAAATGTTCGGCTGCTCGGGCAAAACATCAGGAAACACGTTAAACCAATTGTTGGCCTACGAATGAAATCAGCTACCGGCCAGTGGATACCGATAAGTGGAAAACTGCACGTAACAATCAAAATTGGGGAACGTGTTTATCGACATGAGGTTATTGTGGCCAAAATTCTGGATGACTGCATCCTGGGACTTGACTTCCTGCAAGGGCACCAGTGTAACATCGACTTAAAATCTGGAGTATTACTATGTGGAACTGAGGAAATTCCGATGAAGGGTGGAACCCTGGGAAAAGTTTGCTGTTTAAAAAGAACTGTTCTTGAACCAAAATCACAGACTCTCGTACCAATCGCATTACCTAGGAGGAGTGGAGGAAGTTTACCTCGAAGGTGCGCTGTGATTGATAAATCGGAACACGTAAACTCATGGCTACCGGCAAGGACTGTCGTGGGGTCATCTGATGTCAACCGCATTCCGGTATTCAACTTCAGTGATTCAAAAATTACGATTGAAGAAGGAGAGCCTGTGGGCGTTTTGGAAGAAGTGGCCTGGATAAGAAAATGCTCGGAGAATCTTGTGAAGAAGGACAGTACGGGAATAGACTTTGTAACGAAAATCTTAGACGAAAACAAAAGTCTGACAAAAGTGGAGACTATGAAAGCTAGAAATTTACTCCTTCGATTCTCTGATGTGTTTTCAAGAAGCGATGGTGATATTGGCCGAACTGGTTTGGTGAAGCATAAAATAAATACAGGTGATACAATGCCAATTCGTCAAAGGCCCAGACGTATACCATTCGCTCGTGAGAAAGAGGTTGAACAAATGATTGACGATATGAGGAAAAATGACGTGATAGAGCCCTCTTCTAGCCCTTGGTGTTCACCTGTCGTGCTTGTCAAGAAGAAAGATGGTTCAACGAGGTTTTGCGTAGACTATCGACGATTGAATGATGTAACCAAGAAGGATAGCTACCCGTTACCAAGAATCGATGACACACTTGACACACTGAGTGGCATGAAATGGTTTTCAACGCTCGATCTGAAAAGCGGCTATTGGCAGGTGGATTTGGATCCCAAGGACAAGGAAAAGACCGCATTCTCAACTGGGAAGGGACTCTGGCAATTTAAGGTGATGCCATTTGGATTATGCAATGCACCGGCAACCTTTGAGCGTTTGATGGAACAGGTGCTGGCGGGACTGCTGGGCGAAACCTGCCTAGTTTACCTCGATGACATCATCATCGTTGGACGGGATTTTGACGATCATCTAAGAAAATTGGAAAGGGTACTCGAAAAGCTGCGTGGAGCAAATTTAAAGTTGAGTCCAAAGAAATGCTCTTTCTTTAAGCGCGAAGTGAATTATCTAGGACATGTTATTTCTGAGAGAGGAATTGAGACTGATCCAGCCAAGACTGCCGCTGTTAAGGAATGGCCAACACCTAAAGACAAAACGCAAGTTCGGGCATTTCTTGGATTATGCTCGTATTATCGGCGGTTTGTGAAAGGATTCTCGGACATTGCCAAGCCATTGCATCGATTGACAGAGGAGAAACGTGCCTTTATATGGGACGAGGATTGTGAGCAAGCCTTTCGCGAACTAAAAGAACGGCTTTGTAAAACGCCAATTCTCGGAT